CTAGTGGTTCATATGAAACAATCTATCAGAGAGACTGATTTCCCTTGTATCGCCTTTGGTTATGCAGAATTTGTCTCAATGACAGAAGAATAGTTATATTACTCATTTTCTCTGCTTCTGTGAGAGTTAGATGAATCTGTTCAGAACCATGTTCCACAATCGCACTAGAGGCCCCTTAATTCCTTAAGTCTTTCCCATTCAAGGAGTTCAGGTGCAGAATATTTCCTGTAGATCCCCATTTGATTGCTGAGTCAGGAAATTTCCTTTCCTCTATGTTAGTCATTGGACCTGCTTTCCAATTATTTCTCCTATAATTTCAAGCTCTTGTCTTATTGTTCTTGCAAGAGTTTCAAGCACTATGTTAAAGAGAAGTGGAGATAGTGGACACCCATGTGTGGGTTCTGATTTCAATGGGAATGCTTTCTGTTTTTCTCCATTTAGAAGGATGTTGGCTGTGGGTTTGTTATATACGGCTTTAAGTATGTTGAGGGATGTTCCCTCCAGTTCGGTTCTCTCTGGTACTTTGAACAAAATGGATGTTGAATTTTGTCAAAGGCCTCCTCTGTATCAATTGAGATAACCACGTGTTTCTTGTCTTTGAGCCCATTTATATGATTTATGATGTTTATTGACTTACGTATATTGTACCATCCCTGCATCTCTGGGATAAAGCCGACTTGATCATAGTGGTTGATCTTTTTGATGTGTGTCTGTATGTGGTTTGCAAGTATGTTGTAGAGAATTTTTGCATCTATGTTCATTAAGGATATGGGTCCATAGTTTTCTTTTTTGGTTGTATCTTTGCCTCGCTTTGGTATTAGAGTGATGCTGGCTTTGTAGAAAGAACTTGGAAGTTCTTCTTTTTCTATTTTTTTGAATAAATTAAGTAGTATTGGATGCAGATCTTCTTTAAATGTCTTATAGAATTTGGCTGTAAATCCACGGTCCTGAGCTTTTTTTAGTTGGGAGGGTTTGTAGTACTCTTTCAATTTCTTTTTGTGTTACGGATCTGCTTAAGCTGTTAATCTCTTCTTGGTTTAGTTTTGGTGGTTCCCATGCCTTTAGATATCCATCCATTTCTTTTAGGTTTTCAAATTTACTACTATATGGGTTTTTAAAATATTCCCTTATAATGGTCTGTATCTTTTGGGTGTCTTTTGTGATGTCTCCCCTTTCATCTCTAATTTTGTTAATTTGGATTTGTTAGGGTTCCAAACAGCAGCAGCTTCCCCCCTCCCCAACAGGGACCTACAGACTTTGGAGCCCAAAAAAGGGAACTGAGCTGATAAGCACCTTGACCTTTGAAGTCAAGGGAAACAAACTCTGCTGAGAAGCAGCCTGCCTTTCCTCTGATCTCCAAAGATAAGATAAGCAGATTCTACCTG